GGGTTCCACTAACCACCTGTTGCTCTTAGCCTTCCATGTGGGCTTTAGAATAGTCTCTGAGAATCATTCCTAGAAGTGAGAGGAGGCTGGGAAAGTCTGAATTTGAGATACCTCAAGGTTTTGCTGAAGCAGTACGTAGATGCTTGTGGGGCTAGCTCAGACTTCGCTTATAATTTACCTGCTGTTGCTCCTCCTCAACTTCCTTTTGCTTAATTTTTTTTTTTACTATTTTGTTTGTTTGCATGTTTGCATGTTTGTCTGTGGAGACAGGGTCTCTTTATGTAGTCCCGACTATCCTGGAGTTTGGTATGTAAACCAGGTTGGCCTCAGATGTAGAGATCCTCCTATCTCTGCCTCCTGAGTGCTGGGGTCAAAGGCATATGCTGCCATACCCAAAACCATCCACCTGTTTTCGTGTTGTGTTAATTTTTTCACACTCTTCCTAATGGGGAGTGATCTGCCTCACATAGCACATAGGACTAGGGCATTGATGCTGGCTGCTCATGCCTCTGAGCTTAGCACATAGGGCTAGGGCATTGATGCTGGCTGCTCATGCCTCTGAGCTTAGCACATAGGGCTAGGGCACTGATGCTAGCTGCTCATGCCTCTGAGGTTAGCACATAGGGCTAGGGCACTGATGCTGGCTGGTCATGCCTCTGAGGCTAGCACATAGGGCTAGGGCACTGATGCTGGCTGGTCATGACTCTCAGGTTAACACATAAGGCTAGGGCACTGATGCTGGTCATGCCTCTCTGTCTTTTTTCTCTTCCTCATATTGTTTGTTGAGCTCAAATCTTGCTACTTAGACAGGCTGGCATTCATCCTCCTGCTTCCGGTGCAAAAGTGCCAGGATTGTAGTTATATATCACATGCCTGGCTAAGAAGTAAAGATTTAGAGGCCTGCTGAGCACAGTGATTTCCTCGTGTAAAGGTGACTGAGCTTCTGTTTCTGGCTGGAGTGTAGCTTCTTCTTGGGGAGTCTCATATGGCACTTGAATTCTTACTGGGACTTAATATATGTTAGCTCATCCCTTTGCTGATGTCACCCATGGTCACAGGTCTCTGGTTCTCCTGTTTTACACTCAGAATGGCTGGAACAAACTGTGAGGGAATTTGTGATGCTTCTAGAGCTTAGTGAAGTGAGGTGACATAGTGCTCTGTGTCCCAGCTAAACCATATGATGTCTTTAAATGAGTATGGATTTGAAGTTAGTGTTTGTAAAGAGGTTGTGACGGTGAAGTGAAATTATTGGGATGGACCCATCCAGTTTGACCAGCATCCTTCTTGATTGAACACACAGAGACACTAGGGATGTTTGAACAAGTGAAGACAGCATAGGAGTGGTGGGAGATGTCATGTTTAGACAGTCCAAGGAGAAAAAGCCTACTGCCACCTCTGTCATGGTCCCCCAGGCCAACAAAGACATTTAGACAGCATCAGTGGTTAAAGTCAAGATTTCTATAGGAAATGTTTTTGTTTCCATTGCAAGTAACATAAACAGAATGCACAAATAGCAATAGGCTCTTAGGTCAGGGTTCCAAGTTACTAAGCATACTAAGCCTTTGGAGCTTCTGAAACTCTGGTGTGGTATCTCACAGTCTTTATTGGCAATGTTTCCATTTGGCAGATATGACACCTAGTTAAGGGCACCGAGTACCTTGTACTAGGGATCTAGGTATTTCATGCAAGAGTTAAATTTGAAGCTGGTACTCAGTTCCAAGGCTGTGAATTTACTCACTGTCTGTCTTCTTTTGCTACAGCTAGTGTGGGTGACTGATCTCATTCATAACCACAGCATGTCACTGAGAAATGGAAAAAGGCATCCATCCATGTCCAAAGGAAGCCCTGTCTTTAGCCAGCAGCTTCAGGCTGAGCCTTCCAATTGCTACTTCCCCCCCCCCCCCAACCCCCAAGCCCAGAAGGAAGATCCTGAGCTGTACGTGTTAAGGCTGTAGGTACAGCTGTGACTCTAGTCATGGGGATCTGTTCCCTACTTTTACTCAGTGCCATCAAGGCCCATGTTGAGACCAGTCCAGTGATAGCACTCCTCCTTCTCATCCTCCTCCTCCTCCTCATCACCACAATCACCATCATCATTCTAACCTGTAGACAATCAGATAGGATCACCGGTCAAGTCCTATGGCATTTTAATACTTTTCAAGGAACTTTTAAACCACTGCCTGACTCTACCTTAGAAGTTAGGACAATCTCTTAGGTTCAGAGATGTCAAATGACTGTTATTTGCAGAGCTTGGCAGAATTTACATTCTGTTCCTAAGCACTGGGAAGAGCAGACAGTCACCACTTGGATATGAACTCCTCATGTTTGGGTTTCAGGTGTGGCTTTTACAGACCAGGGCTTCCCTGTGCCCATTCTACAGGTAAGGAGATTGAGAGCTGGGGGTGTGATGTGTCTAGGGGCCCATAGCCTATTATTCTCCTTGATGTTCAAGAGTGTGTACTGACTTCAGTGGCTTTGCTGAGGTGCTGTTGTGACCGGAAGTTTGCACACACAGGTGCACTTACACAAGCATCCTCAAAGGGGCTTTCAGGAAAGTGGAGTGTGGGGCACAATTTCCAGGTGCTCTGCTGTTTCCTGTTCCTCAGGTTGAAACCTCATAGCAGGGGACAGCTTGTGCAACCTAAGGACAGATGCATTCTTAGATCTTGACCCTGGTGTCTAATTTCCTGGCACCAAGATTTCAGCTGACTGATCAAAGCAGAGTGTCCCAAAGAGGAGTGGGGCACATATAAACCAGAGTGGCTGGGACTGTATGGGCATATATGGACGTGACTGATTTGAGGGTCATGGGACCAGTAATTCATGTTCATATAATCACTTAGCACCTTTTGTGCCAACTCTAGAAAGCCTCCTGCTTTCTGTTCTATTTGATCTAGGTTTTTGGGGAAGGCAGCTGCTGTCAAAACTGTGTCGTACTTTGGCAAGCCCGAGGCTTAGCCTGGGAAAGGAAGACACAGAGCCAGGATGAATGACGGGCTTGGGATCCCCAAGTGCAAAGTACAAGTATGCTTGGATGTTTAGGATGATGGGCATGTGTCGCCATAGTCAAGTGGTTGCAGTTTCCCTGGTGGGAATAGTAATCAACTAGTTGGCATGGGTACCATGGAGCCAAGCCCAAATGGGTGAGTACCATCTTTGTAAGTCACTGGGAGTTGGGTACTACGGAAACAGGCATCACTTGAGGGCATCAGTGAATAATCTGAGGTTGTATAACTTGTTATCACGGCAAAGATCAGAATCTAGTGTGTGGCCAGCATTTTCATACCCTTGTTACATATGTTTTTAAGACTGAAGATTGGTAGGAATGTGGTGAAGTGAGTGTGCCTAGGTGTTGGTGTCTCTCTGAAGGAGGAGGGGAATGGAGGAGACACATATAACCACAGTAATTGGTGATTCTGCTAATTGTTTCCTGAACGCTTCCTTCTAAGCATTTTCATCCTGTTGATGTGTGGAGTGTTTATGAAGACACTCCTGAACCCCTGCTCTAGACTCTGGGCATGTGCCTGTGAAGAGGCGTGTGATTTGCTCTTAGAGAAATCCTTGCTACTACAGAGCCCTTAGGGAAGGAGGCATGAAGTTCCACTTTGGACTCTTCCACACACACTTGTACAGAAAATGTAGGAAGGTGAGGTTGCCAACACTTGGGCTATTTTGTCAAGCCCTGGCAGCCCCTGCTCAGCTTTCAGAGAAGACTCCTACTGGGCTTCTTCCTAAGTAGGGAATGGATTCTGCTGCTGCACTGATCCTCATGTTGACCTCCTCTTGTGCACTTTCGATGGCTCCCAACCTCCCCAACCAGCACCAGTGGTTCTCAGAAGGGTCTCTTGTTTCCGGCAGTTTCACCTTTTGCAGAATAATGTTTTTCCCCATTCTCCCCTCTTCACAACCCAACTGTTTCCGCTACAAGAAACCATTCTAAGCAGACATTCTGCTGGCCCTCCTCATTTCCATCTCAGTCCTAATTACTGCAGTTTACAAGTTGCGGGAGCCACATTCCCTAAAAGGTGGCCTTATTTGTCCCAAGGAGTCAGCAGAAGAGTGGTAGGTAGCCAAGACTCCAGCCTTGGAGGCCAGGCTTCAATGGCCTTTCTGGTCTTCTGCCTCCTGGAGGGCTGTAGATAGGAGACACCCTTCCTGGAAAGACAACAGTTTAGGGACACTACAGATAAGGCCAGGCGGGTGTGCCTGGTCGGCCCAGAATAAAAGGCTTAGCAGGAGAAGTTTCTTAGGAAGCCACCTTCCTGAGGTGGGTCCTGACAGATAAAGATGCCTTTGAAGTTCCGTTGGTGGTAGATAGGATCTTTGCGGCAGAGCCTGTCACCAGGGAGCCTTCTGGATGGATGTCCCCAGATAGCCAGATCAGCAGGCCAGAGATAGAGAGAAAGAACACTTATCTAGGAGGGCCTCTGCAGGACTGGCTTTGAGGTACTTCCTTCCTGTCAGCCCACTTCTGGAGTCTTTCTTCACTCTGCAGATTCAGAAACTGAGGCAGAGGTCACCATTTAAAAAAAAAGTCCCAATAAGAGTGTCCTCGTTTGCAGTTACTGGAGACTTCAGAATGTGGTGATCTACATCGTAGACATTGAATACATACTAAAGCCAAGCACTGTGTTGCATTCAGGGAGTTCAGAAGCCACTTATCACACTCTTTCCCAGAGAAAATTCTGGGTCTCCTGCCTGGAGGGAGCATAGATGGGCAATCATACCATTCCAGTCAAAGTGCTGAGTGTGATACGGGGAACAGGTCAGCACACAGAGGGGCTTGCTGTTGTACTTGAGGTACTGAGAGAGAGATAGAAGGAAGGAAGGCAGGAAAAAGTGATCCAAAACCAGACTCTGAGGGGACCACTTAATTTCTGGCTGAGCGTAGAGAGTGCAAAGGATTTCCAGTAGCAGGTGGAAGAGGACGAGTGTGACTTTTTACAACCTGAGGTCTCTGCATTATGGAGAAGGACGAAGTGGAGGTGAATAAGAAGGTGTAGCTTAGTGGTAGATAGAGCACATAGCCCTGGTTTTATTCCCAGCCATGAAGAAACACACATGTACAGGGGTTTGGTTGGTTGGTGGGGAAGGGGGATTAGAGAAAGGATCTAGCCTAGGACAGACATTGGTGAATTGGAAACCCCTGACACAAGAGAATCCTCCCACAGAGTATCTTTAGACATCATTACCACCATCCCAGAGGCTGGAGCACTCCTTGACTGAGGGGGCCTCTGAGAATTTAAGTGCATCTCTTTGCCCTTGATGAATAAATGAAGTCACCAGCAGGCTCTAGAAGAGCTTCCTTGGAGGGTGAGAGGCCTGGAAATCTTTAGGATATGCTGTGCTTGTTCTTGGAGACTTGGTGGGGCATGCTTGCTGGACTGATTGCAGGCTAGATGTTCTTACAGAAGGACTGTTCTCCTGCTGCTGACTGATGCAGAGAAAAACGTAGAGACAGTGAAGGACTTTCACTGAAAGTGAAGGACAGTAAAGAGCAGGTTCTTAGGTGCTTTTTGATATGATCTATCTTGTCACCTCTTAGCCACCACAGCACAGTAGTCAGTGCACTAACAGGCCTCCTGAGTTATAAATAAAGTTAAATATAGTCCAACTACACCCATTCTCCTCTGCTTTGTCTGTGTTGATTTGTTGTTTCAGGGGCAGAGTCCAGTCATGGCAGAGAGCCTATAGAGTCAGAAAGGTTTTTGTCCTTTAAAGGAAAAATGGCCAACCCCTGCTGTAAACGGCTCTTTAGGCTCTGGGGCTGAGCTCTTCTTTGCAGAATATGGAGAATTCTGCAGGCCGCTTCTCAGTATTTCCTTGATTTTCAGAGCGTGCCAATGAGATCAGGGCCAGCAGCAGGTGAGTGAGCAGCTGGCATTCGCACCAGATCTCCTTGACCCCATAGGCTAAGCTTATACTGCATTCCTCTGCCAGTAGGCAACAGCCCAGGGCCATGCTGCTGGGAGAGGCTTTTCCAGAGGACACCCATCACCTGGGGATTGCTGGGTGAAAGTTAGGGTTTAGTGAGCTTGGAGAACATGGGACATATCTCTTCTCATCTTCCCATGGAGTATCTCCAGCCCCTGCCTGGCCTCGTATATAAGTTACTTTTTCTTCCCTTCCCTTCCCTTCCCTTCCCTTCCCTTCCCTTCCCTTCCCTTCCCTTCCCTTCCCTTCCCTTCCCTTCCCTTTCCTCTTTCCCTTCCTTCCTTCCTTCCTTCCTTCCTTCCTTCCTTCCTTCCTTCCCTCCTTCCTTTCTTCCCTTCTTCTCTTCCTCCTCCTCCTCCTTCTTTCAATTACTGTGACAATATATCCAACAAAGACCACAGGAGGGTTTATTTTGCCTCACAGTTTGGTTTTCCATGGTGGGGCAAGCATGGAAGCAGGAGCATGAGGTAGCTGGTCACACTGTATTTGCAATTCAGAGAGCAGTGAATACTGGCCTTCTATTTGCTTTATCTGTTTCATTTAGTTCAGGATCCTGACCAATAGCATGACTCTGTTTGTCTTTAGAGTGGCTCTTCCTTCTTAACCTTAAACTACTTAAGTTATTAGACTTAAACCAGTCTTGAAACTCTCACAGACATTCTGGAAGTTTGTCTCTGGAAGACGATGGATTCTGTTATATCAGCAAATGATGTTAACCATTACACCTGGGATTAAAGAGGGATCCCAATAATGCTTTATGACTGGAAGAAGACTCTAGAAAAGGAGATAGCCAAGGGCCCTTCAGGGTTGACTGCTAGAGCCCAGCTTCTAGAACCCATGGCAGCCTGCTGTGTGACCTTGGACAAGGAGCCTGACTTTCTTGGCTTCGATTTCCTCATCTGGAAAGTGGGATAAGCCTAGCCCTGATAGTACCATGAGAGATACAGGCATGACAATGGGTCATGTGCAGGAAACATTCTTGACACATTGCCAGAGCGGTGAGAAAACAGGCTGTTACAGGCTCAGGGGCATTTTCTGGGGACTCCTGAGAGACAAAGAGTAAAAGGAAGAAGCCAAGCAGTTCTTTGATAGTCTTGCCAAAGGAAATTCCCAGCAGGTGAGAGTGTTAAAGATGGAATACCAAGCCTTTCCTCACCTGGTCCGACCTTGAGAGAGCCAGCTTTGGAGGGCTTGTCCTCTTCCATGGAACAGGAGAGAGGCAAGGTGTTTCTTGTGGATTGTTACAGCACCGCAGCACTGCAGTGGCCCCAGCAGGACCTGGGAGCTGCACAAAACAGGGCATGCAGGGGCCAAATTCCACCCTTGTCACTCCCAGCATTGGTTAGGTGCTCCCTTCGGCCCCTGTGGGTATGTCACTTCCGCTGGCCTGCTTTACCACTTCAGAGAAAGTCACTGGACTGAACAGCTAGGGAGTAGTCAGGGAATCTCTTGCCATTTGCCAGCTACCCACAGAGCTCTGGCTCCGTCCAAAAGCAGCGGTTGAACCGTGGCCTAAACAAATTAAGGACTCCTGCCTCCTGCACTCTTGGCCCTGCAGGTTTGGAGAGAAATCACTTTTGTTTTGTATGAGTTAGATCTTTTCCAGCCCAGCCATGCAGTTTAATAAGCTTTAAAAATATCAGGATACAGACCTGATAATCAGATACCAGTATACGGGGAAGGACTAGACATTGGGCGCTTCTGGAAGCCACAAGGTGACTCTGATGTCAGAAAGGGTAGACCTCTCACCTGTGTGTCTGCTCTTGTTGTATATGCCCTTGCCATTTGTTATATGTACATGGTCTGTAAAATCTGGGGGGGAAATCAGCCCAATCAGGAGACCTAGGACATTGGGGAAAGCTACCTAAGAGGGAGAAGGCTCCAGAATTGCTGGACTCTATGTTTACCTTCTCCATGTTCCTAGAGAAAAGGACCCAGAAAGTCCCCATTTATGGACGTGAAAATGGTGGAGGTTTATGAGATCAATTGAATGTATCTAGAGGCACAGAATTGGTGGCTAGGCATTAGTACTATACTTAGGTTAAATGCTCACCCCTGATTTGCCTGTCTCTGCCTGAATTTGTGCAGACAGAAGTCTGTTGGGATTCTAGGATGGGCTGAAATCCCACTTTCACCCCAATTTACAGGGAACAAAACTTATCCATGCCCTTAAGCAGCCATAGCAGAGGCTGGTCTCAGTTACCTTTCACGAAAAAGGCTTAGTTTGGGTTGCTGAGTATCGAAATCGCTTCTAGATCCCCTGCAAGGTTTTATGTGAACATTTGTGGGAATCAGTTAACATCTGATCATATAGAGATCTGGGTTTTTCTACTCTTATCTGAACTGTAGGAAGGAGAGACTTCTCAAAGCTGAGACTATCAGAGACTGTTAGATCCACCTGTACACTGCAGGGCTCAATAAACTGACATGGCCCATATGTGACTGCACTCTTACCCATGTCTGCTTTCTCTCACTAGAGACCATGTTCCTGTGTCTGTGTAGAGGTTAGAGGATAACTTAAGAGTATTGTCTTCAGGAATGCCATCACTTTCTTTGAGACAGTTTCTCTCATTGGTCTGGAGCTCACTAATTATGTTAGATTGGCTGGCCAGTGAACCCCTAAAGACTCCTGCCTCTGCCTTCCTGGGGCAGGGATTATGAGTGTGTACCTCCATGCCCAGCAAGATTGCTTTCTTTGGCTTGCCCTTTGAGGCTTTCTGAGTTTGTCCATTTCCCATATCCTGAGTCCTTTTTAGGGATTTAGGTGGATACGGTTAATTGTCTCATGTAGGCATGGAGGTAGAAAATTATTTGTCATCTGTTTTTCATCCAATCATTTTTATATCTTACACTTTCATTATTTACATTAAAGCACGGTACAATACTCATTTCTGTCATTGTGTCATGGTTGGTGAAGCTGATAGATCATGTTTAAAACAAGTTGGCAATCAAGTTACTCCAGTTTGCTCTTACACCTGGGGTTGGGGGAGTGTGCACCTCTCTGTATGTAACTTTTCTCTTCTTGGAAATCATTTGGACACATTCTCAGCAGAAGGCTTATTGAGTCAAAGGCCACAGTTTATAACTCTTGACCCATATTGCCAAATTACTTTAAATAGGGTTGTTTACACTCCCTCCGTTGACAGGAGGACACGCCAGTTTGACCACCCATCAATGTTGACTATTATTAGATTTTGAAAACATGTAATTTAATAGATGCAAAATATTCTCTTTTTAATTCACATATATTTTAATCTAGGGAGGAGCTATCCCCCCACCCCCATCTGTTTGTTTACCAACTCTCTTTGAGAATGCTGACCGACACACCTGGCTGCTTCAAGAATCTGCTCCATTCTTTTCTGTGTGAATTCCTTCATGACGAGCCAGGGGTAGTGTTGGGCTAACTTCAAGTGTGTGAACTTCCACACTGAAATGAGGTGAAATGCTGGTTTTTGACTTGCTTCAGAGCTTGAAGGCCAGGACCGAAACAACCTGTTCTTAACATATTGAGAGGTCTACATGAAGTCTCCCAACTTGGCCCCTGGTTTCTGTGACTTTGAACTTAACGCTCGTTTTTCTTCCTCTCTTCTGCCTCAGCTTTGCTTGATGAGCAAGACAGGATTTTTCTGAAGAAAAAATCTTAGAGATACACCTCCTCAACTATTTTTGGGTTTCTTACCTTACCTTGTGGGAGAGGACAGAGAGAGAGAGAGAGAGAGAGAGAGAGAGAGAGAGAGAGAGAGAGAGAGAGGTGGGGGGAGTGCCATATGTTCCCGTTAAGCCTTGTTTTAAATATGAGCAGTTGTTTACCCTTCTAGACAGCTTTCTTTGATTTTTCTCTCACTGCCTAACCCACAACATCCTGTGGCCTTGAGGCCTCTTCAGCACCTTGTCTCCGCTCGCTCACTCACTCGATCTTTGCTCCAAAGCATCCTGGAGCTCCTTCTGCACAAGGAAGGCCCACAGTAGTTGGAAGAACCCAGCAGAGAATTTCTAGACCATTGGTGTCCCAAAGGAGGAGAAGGACGTTCCTGGATGGGTAGCAGTGCTCACATTCACCTGAGAGTACACGAGAGGAACTGGAACTTCAGCTGAGATTTGCAGTTTGTCTCTGGGGCTGTTTCTTCCAGCCCTTTGGTGCCAGAGTCTTCTCTCTGACTTCGTTATAGTGCTCTTGCTTAGATTCCTCCCGGGCTTCAGAGCGACACATTCCTTATTTATTTTGTATTGTCTGAGGCAGGACTTCATGTAGTCCAAGCTGGCATTAGCTATACCTAAGGCTCCTTATCCTCCTGCCTCTACCTCTCTCCCACTATGTATACTTTCCCATGTGAGATATGTGTTATATTCCATGTGGATTTCTTCAAGATGAGCCAATGACAGTGCAGTATAAGTGCGTGTGTGAAATGCTATTTTTGTTGTTGTTGTTTTGTTTTTTAGTTTGTTTGGTTCCTTTTTAAATTTTTTATTTTGGCTAATTATAATGGAAAAGATGTGTGAAAATCAAGGGGGACTGAGGGATTGCTGTATAGATAGGTCTCAACAGACAATACCTGTTGTGCACACTCAAACCTGTCTTACACAAACATCTTCAGCCTTATTTTACTCTGCCACTGGAGATAAAATAGCTTTAAAACAAAACAAAACAAAAACAAAAAACAGTGATCATGTAGTGAACCCCAAACTGAAGGCTGGGTGACTCCAGCAAGTGATTTCTCTGGGACTGATATCTTCTTTGATGAGATGCATGGCTGGCTTCCTTCCTTTCCTGGGCTGATTCATAGGTTGATAGTTGACCCAGGGTCATTTGAGATCATTTTCATTTTCAAGAACTCATTTGTTTATTTGTTTCTCTCTTTCCTTTGTCAGTGTTTTCCCTCATTCCCACCCCTGTGTGTTTACTGGGGTGTCAGGAAACTACTTAGAGGAGGTTCTTTGTGGGGCACAAGTTAAAACTCACAGGGAACTTTGGAAAACAAAAAATAAAACAAAACCTGCCAGTAAGTTTTTGTCTGTGTTGCTCAATGCCGCCTTCTCCTCCTCAGCACATGTTAACCCCACAGGAACCCTGGGCTGGATTTTTCCTTCAGCACAGCACAGTCTTGGTATGTGAGTTTAGGAGATTTTTGTTCTCAGGGGAGTATTATGCTGTGTTCTCTCTCTCTCT